CTGACTCGATGGCACCTAACAACAAACAACAGCAACAGAACATGATCACCCGAGAGTTCATTGTATGGCAAAATGGCCATGAAACCTAAACACAGATTATAAAAGAATGAGATTCAGAAAGGCAAGGTTAGACACAGCTCTGAAGGCAGAGCTCCTGGATTCCAGTCTTGCTCTTTTGCTTCAGTATCATGGTGAACAAGCCTCTGTTTGTTTCAAAGTCCTCAGTTTTCAACTGCAGACAAAATGAAATCAAAGAGTGGCTGTGAGGATAAAATTAATTAATACATGGTAAAGCAGACAGTCCCGGTGTGGCATTGTCGGATCAGCACTAGAATGCAAACCACGAGGCCAGCAGTTGAAATCCACCAGCTGCTCTTCAGAACCATTATATAGGGTCGCTAATCTCCGGTAGCGTAGTGGTTACGAATCAGGCTGCGAACCTTAAGGTCAGCAGTTTGAAACTACCAGCCACTCCGTGGGAAAAGATGAGGCTTTCTATTCCTGTAAGGATTTACACCCTCAGAAACCCTGTACTCGGGTTGCTATGGGTTGGAACCGACTCGACAGCACTTAACAACAACAACAACAACAACAAAGCAGAAGGTCAGGAAAAAGAGGAAGACCCTCACAGAGATGGACTGACACAGTGGCTGCGACAGTCCACTAAAACAGTGTCTCCATAGTGAGGATGGTGCGGGACCGGACAGTGTTTCCTTCACTGTACCGAGTGCTAGGAGTCCAAACCAACTCCACAGCAACCTAACTACAGCAACAAAGTGTAAAACAAAGCTTTGCTACATAGTGTTGTGGGTGTTAAGTGCCATTGAATGAGTTCCAACCCAAGTGATCCTGTACGTTTTTTCCGAGGCTGTAAATCTTTACTGGAGCAGAAAGCCTCATCTTTCTCCTGTGGAGCAGCAGGTAGTTTCGAACTGCTGACCTTGTGGTTTGCAGCCCGATTCATAACCACTACACTACCAGTTTTAAATACCTTTATTACTATGATTATGATTACAAAATAAGTAAGATAAAAAATTCAATCTGTAAGACAAATCAGCAAATGTGTGCCCTAGTCCCCTGGCCCTATTATTTATTCCTGTTATTCTATTGATTATTAAGATAAAGCACCATTTCCCACCTATAAGCCTGACAAAAATTTACTTAAAAAATATCTAATGATGTGGGGGAAAGGGTAGAAGGGAAAATTGGTACATCTACCTTGGAAACCAATTTGACAACTTCCAGGTGTGGCACTGTTGGATAAACATTGGACTGCTAAGAGCAAGGTCGGCAGATCATACCCAACAGCTGATCTTCAGAAACCCTACACAGGGTCATTATGGATTGACTGGAACAAACTCCACGGCGCATCACCACTATCACCACCATATATGGTTGTTACCATCTTTAGAGATATTTCTTAATTTTCCAGTTCAAAAGTTGTGCCTAATTCTTTCTCTTAATTGAATTCCATAATGACTCCCATGCTCAGCGTTTTCTCTTTTGTTTCGTTATTATTGATCACCATTGTTATTACTGAAAATGCCTACTACCAATGTGTGAATGTCCATGCTGTGCCGGGCACTGTCCAAAAGCAAAACCAAACTCACTGCCAGCATCTCAATTCCAACTCATAGCCACCCTGTGTAGGGTTTCCAAGGATGCTGCACTGTGGTGGCTTGTGTGTTGCTGGGATGCTGGAAGCTATAACACCAGTATTTTCAATAGCAGCAGGGTCACCCTCAGTGGGCAACTTTCAGTGGAGCTTCCAGACTAAAACAGACTATGAAGAAGGAGAGCAGACTATTTCTGAATGGCTAGCCACTGAAAACCTCAAGAAAATTGGCAGAACACTGTGAGATACGGTGCTGGAAGATGAGCCTCTCTGCTTGGAAGACACTCAAAATACAATGGGTGAAGAGCTGCCTCGTCAAAGTAGAGTTGACCATAGTGACATGAATGGAGCAAAGCTTTTGAGACCTTTACTTGCTGATGGGGCATCATTCAAAGTAGAGTCACTTGTCAATCCATCTCATTAAGGGTCTTCCTCTTTTTTCTTTTTTTGTTCCACAAGTATCAAGTAGTAACACAGTCCTTGAAACCACACCCTTTTCCTTTAAAGATTATATATACAGAAAGTAGGAGGAAGACAGAAATTGTCCTTACCGCTGGGGCTGATTCCAATTGCTGTATGCTGCATTTTGAAGTTCACTTTCTTCTCCTTCTCCTTCCTCTCGCTCTGGTAGTTCTGGAATGTCTCTGTCAAAGAGTTACAGGATGAGGATTCAACCATTCTAGTAAAATCCCACACAGTTGTCTTCTATCTACTTCACTGCTGGTTTAATGTAGATTACCATATACATATTTTACAATGGGAAAAAGAAATGCTAATACAACCAAGCAAACATATTATGTTAGAACCAACCTACCGTAACTTAGTCTGGATATATAGCTGAACACTAAAGAATCTTTAGTCTATTTCTTCCCTGATAAAACACAGAAAAATTAAGAAAGATGGTATGGTCAGTGTAAAAACAAGAACTCCAAAGGAAAAAAGTACTCGACAAGCATCTTAAAGGCCTACCCGTGCAAGAGGTATAGAACCAATGTATAGGTTGTAAGTATGCACAGACAAGGTCCTCGTCCTTAAAAAGCTTGAATGACCAAGTATGCCAGGAAATCAGCATCTCTGCTTCCTAAGGATAGACAAAGGCTTTTCCTTTAATTATTGAAGATGAAAAAATGCTCATGATCCAGCTGTAGCCCACCTAGAAGAGCCACCCATGTATGCTCAATGTCACCTTTCCATTTCTGTAACAACTCAAGTTTTCCCAGATACTAAGCATATAACAAAATACGTCCAGTCTACTGCCTGAAAGTAAATGAAACTGTAAATTAATAACAATATAGAAATGTTTTGATTTTCCAAAAGCATATGCACTGAAATCAAGAGCAATGATTGACAAATAGTAACAACAACACTTTGTTTTAATCAAAGAAATTGCAAAGGGAATAGAAAATAATTAAATCAGCTATACCACGTTATGTTCTTAGGGTGTTGGTAAAGTCATATTTCTCAGAAAATATGTTTACTTAAAAGGTCAGACTCAACACTGTATATACATCATAACCCTAATGCTTTATAGATAAAATTTTATATTGAAATGAAAAAGCAATACGAGATTAACAATGACTATCACCCACTGGCAGGATTATGTATTTTTTTTTTTTTAATGTGTTTTCATCTGAAGAATTTTCAATATCCACACCTACTGTTTTTCATCAGGAGACCTGGAAGTATAGTGGGTGATGATCTGGGCTGCTAACCACCAGGTCAGGAGAAGTTTGAATCAACCAGTGGATCTGTCGGAGAAAGATGAAGCTTTCTGCTCCCATAAAGATCTAAAGTCTTCAAGACCCTATACAAGGTCGCTATGAGTCAGAATTGACTAGATGGCACATCACCACCACTACCACTACCACCACCACCACCACCACCATTCCTTTTAATGCAGGAAATGCTATGAAAATTCTGATTTGATAAATGTATCATTATTTCTTTACCGAAAATTTATAACTTATGTGCTCAAATGATATCCATTCCACCATGATGGGAACACTGAGTACTCTCAAATTTTATGATCATTAGAGACTAAGATTAGAAATCATCCAACCCAACAACCCACCTGTGCTGGAATGGGCTTCCTACCATGTCCCAGCAGGTACCTGTCCAGACCTTCCTTGGAGGCCTCATTCCTTCTTTGAGCTGAATGCTACACTTTGTTTTTGTTTTCAATGCTGTTAGAATAAACTAGATCTGCCTAATGCTTCTACCCAGGATTCTGGTGTGGCGCTGCAGCACAAGCACTGCACCCGATGGTCAGTTTGAACCTCAAGGTCAGTAGTTGAAATTCACCAGCCACTCCTTGGAAACCCTATACAGGACCGCTAAGTGTAAGAATTGATTCCAAGGCACTTAACAACCGAAGTAACAATGTTTCTACCCAGTGTTTGAATTTCCCTCCTATGAACACTGAGGAACAGGGAATGGAGTCTGGCTATGTCTGGAGGTGAGGGAGGGCTTTGGGTAATGACTCAAAGAGGAAGATTCTGAAAACAATGACAAGGAGCTAACTAAGAGGCCTTCTGACACCCCAATCCACAGGAAGTTAAGCACAGAGGTGAAAAGTGGGCCTAACCTCCTGAAGAGACAACTAGACAGAATGTGGTGGGAAGCAAGCCAGGAAGACAAGAATGAACACGGCCTTGGAAAATCTATAGCAACTCTATTGTTTAGAGTAGAACTGACGCTTAGGGTTTCCAGGGTTATCAAGCATTATGGAAATCAACTAGCTCATCTATTTTCCTCAGAGCGGAAATAGGTCCAAACCAACACTTAACCCCATGCACCAGCAGGGCACCTTCAGAACTTGAAAAGAGCCCCATAAAACATGGAGTGACAGATTCTCGTTCCTCACATCTTAGCTGTGGGAGACTATCAGAACCCTCTAAGCCACAGTGTACCTACAACTCGCACAGGTCCTAAAGGGCAGAGTAGAACTCTCCCAGAGGGTTTCTAAGGCAGCGATGTTTGTGCAAACAGACTGCTACATCTTTCTCCCATGAAGTGTCTGATGGGTTTAAACCACTGACATTTCAGTGAGCAGATGAGCACTTTAACCACTGCTCCACCAGGGCACATTATCTGTTACCTATAAGACAAATATCCCGAAGACTTAGTTCCCCCAGTCTCTTTAATTGATTCCATAACCTTGAGTCCTTCCTTAATCTAGGTGTGTTTTCTAAAGGTGCTGAGATGATTTTTGACATATTTTACACCTGTGGTATTCAGGACTCCAGTGTCAGGTGGCCACCTTGGAGGAGCAGGAAGGGGTGTTCTCATCCTCACTCAGCCAAGACTGAATTAGATTCCTTTGCTCCTGTGTCCGATTGTTGAATAACAATGATAATAACTGGTTCTTTTTACATCTGTGTTTAGGCATCTAATGAAATAGCAGATGTGAGATCCGAATGAGGCTGTCTTAGTGAAGCCGGGCTCTTTGCCTCCAGGTTGTGCTGCCACATACTTTTGGTAGTGGACACTTGAGCAAGTCTTGCTTCAGATCCACATTCTCAGGCTTAGGTCCTGGACTGGTCACAGAGAGGTAGCGTTCAGCGATTAAGAGCATGGGCTTTGGAGACTCACTGCTTAGACTGTAACCTATATTAGCTAGAGGACTTTAGCTAGTGACCCAGCCTCTGTCCACTACAGATTCCTCCTTTGTGAAATGCAGACTGCCTCCTCGTGGCTTTGTTTTTGCTTGAAGGCTCCATTCTAGTAATAGGCAATCTCCTTTCTCTGGTGTCTCAGCCAGTCACAGCATAGCACAATGCAGTCCAGGCCCCTTGCTGGGCTGGAGGGAACACTGAGCTGCAAGTAGCTTTGTTCTCTAATAACTCTGAATCCCTTCAAGATCTCAAAATTTAAAAAGAATAAAATGTGATTTTGGAGTATTCTTTAAACATAAGTAATTTGAAACCTATTTTAGAGGGACAATGGAATGCTTACTTTTTACTATTTGACAGACAGTACGGGAAGCAATGATCAATTTAGGCCGTTACTCTAAATATGGTTAACTCTATAGGAGAGGGGCTGAGTTTTGTGAATACTCCTGTTTTCACAAAACTTTGTGAAGCTCTGAAAGCCTGGACATGCCTTCCCCTGACTAAACATACGCTTCCCTTCCCTAACACTCCCTGTAAACAGCAGCTGTGGCTCTGTGCAGAGAGAACAGTGGTGTGGTATGTCACATGGTAAAGGGCACCACGGTGCCCAGGAATGTTCTGATAACCTCTGAGGAACTGTAGTAACACACCAGGACTCCACATCTGTATGGCTGTTTTTATTAAGCGCCTTTGAGTCGATTCCAACGAATAGCGACTCTGAACAGAGTTTCCAAGGAGCAGCTAGTGGGCTTGAACCGCCGACCTTTTGGTTCCCAGTCCAGTACTTATCCTACAGCGCTGCACCAGGATACTCTGGAATGACTGTGGCTTGTATTGATGTTGTTAAGAGCCGTCGAGTCGATTCTGACTCATAGCAACCTTGTATAGGGTTTCCAAGGAGCGATTGCGGGTTTGAACCACTGGCCTTGCAGTCCAGCATATTGTCCTGCAGCATCACACCAGGGCTCCAAACACTGAAATCTATACGCCAAGGCATTGAGCTCGCATTCTCCATGAAAGTAAAACAGCCATTACAAATGTTTCTGACTATGTGTGTATGTTAGCAAAGAAATGAATAAAATTTCTGAAGATGTTTGCAAATATTTATGGAAAAAAAAAAGTATAGAATATAGAACTATATAAATTATAGTTCTAGAAAACTAATGAAATAATATATCTGGAGTGATTTATCCAAACTCAGTATGCTAAAGTAGAACTGAAGATGATTTCAATTTCCTGGTTTGAACTTTTATATAGTTTCCCAACTTTCCCCACTCTCTGATAAATTACCAGCTAAGTGATTGGTGGAGAACTGTCTTTCAAATCTAGGAGACAGAAAGGAAATCAGTCTTCCACTTTGCTCCACTCCTCCCTGACCCTGGACTCAAAACTCTCATTTGTAACTGGACTGCGAACCACAGAGTCGGCAGTTCAAAACCACCAGCTGCTCCTTGGAAACCCTATATAGGGTTGCTATGTGTTGGAAGCGACTTGGCAACACTTAACAACAACAACATATGACTTATTGAGTCATGGTGTGGTGCTGTAGGACAAGCACTGCACTGCTAACCACAAGGTCAGCAGTTCAAACCCACAAGCAGCTTCTTGGAAACCGTGTCACTATGAGTCAGAACCAGCTTGATGGCACTTAACAACAATAAATATGACTTATTAATGATAACAACGTTAACGGTTCACTTACCTTTCAGTGAATGAAGAAAATATATCCAGTGACATCATTCCTCCAGATTGTTGTTCCACGCTTATTCTGAACTCTTCCAAATGTTCTGCAGGCACATAAGTAATTCTGGAACAGAACACAACCCATGACACTAAAGAGAAGTCTCAAGTTTTGCTTAGCTGTTTGGGAAAACTTCCAAAGTTAAAGTATATAGTTTCTTCATTTCTACTTCTTCAGACACCAATTTAAGCAGTTTTTTCAACATAGAATCCAAATTTCAAAAGGATACAATCTATTCTATATAAAGTGGTCTATATGCAAGAATACAACAGAAATTACATTTTAATGTCCTGCTGATAAATTATGCACTTACCAGATATCATATAGGGGTGAAAAGCAGCATTATTTATATTTCTCAATGAGAGAACTAAGGGTAACATTTGGAAATCAGGAACATCTATAAATCTTTACATTGGTAATCATCAGGAAAAAAAAGCAAAAACAACCACATTAATTTTGTCCAAAGATTTCTGGGTTCCCGAGCAGAAGCAAATTAAATGCACTCTATTAAAACTCTGGATAGCCAATATTATTTCACATTTTTCCTTAATCCATAATTGATTATAGACATTAACAAGCATTACTGAAAAGCGTGTTAGTTCTATTAAGAATACTCAAGTCTGAAGTCCAATCATTATAAGTTTATGGAAAATCTCTCTTATACATTCATATTGTTTCTTATAAATTCATTTTGGTTTAAAAAAGCCCACAGTTGAAACCTGAATGGTCACTTTATGAATTCAACAAGTACCAGCAGATGGCCTGTTACGTAAGACACCATGCCGCATGCTAACGACAGCTTTCATGCTCAGAAACATCTTTTTAAAATGTAGATGTTTGCTGCTATTCTAGAAAATGATGCACATCATTTATGAACTTTTTCAAGTGGACAGTTCCAACACTTTTAAGGTAAAAGAAATACTGTGCTTGTATTTTTAACTTAAAAAACAACAACAACTGTATGTATCAGAAATACAAATTACAGAAATCCTGAAGCCTACCAAACCATTTATCCAGAACTTATATGAGGGGACTTGAAAAAATTTGCGGGAAAATGGGCTTAAAAGTTTTTGGAATTTATCCAAGAACTTTCTGAAGCCCCCTTGTGCAGTGTGCAGTACAGCATAAAGTCCATAAAACACAGTAAGACAATCCGTACTGGAGGACGAAGCTGGAAGGCCTGTCTTTCATAAGGTCATAAAAAAGAAAAATTGTGCCAGTGGAATAATATTTACTGAGTGTGTGGGGTGAGAGGGTGGCTATAGCTTCAGATATACTGGGTATCCCATAAACCCATTCACTGTGTGATGTCAGTTAGGTTTGGAAAGAGAAGACAGGATTCCGTGAGTCCTCAACATCACTGAAATGCCCCATTCTCCACCACAAGGATGTCACTTCATAGGAGACGCTTGTCCACTAAGGAACACAACATAAATGAAGGAGATGCACCCCAGCCACTCCTGGTTACCTAGGCCGGCCGAATGCAAGAACTCTTTGGAAGTTTCATGCCTAGTACGAGGAGCTTTAAAAAATGAAGAAAAAGCCCAGTGCCACAGATTTAGGATAAGGCTAGGTGAGCATGTCACTCTATTTTAACTATTATTTCATCTATTCAGTGATAAAAACCACTTAAGTTGCTTATAGTATATATATTCAATAGTAAATCCACCTTTACACCTTCAAAAGCAACGAGTCAAAAGGAGTACATTATGCCTACAAAGAAAATGATATTTTTATGCAAGGAAACATACAAGCTAAACTTAAAACCTCAAACCTGAAAAGCCTATACAAGAAAATGGATAGCATTTCTGAAGATGCAGTAACAGTACCAACTCATAATAAACAAAGCCTTAAGAAGAAAAGGTTAGGAAATGGTATGAGGCTGGGGGGTAGCTAGAACGCAACAGTGAAAATAATCATCAGTGCAAAACATTTGATTTTTAAGTTGATTTGAGAAAGAAAAGATGTTTCAACTGCAACCAAAATTGAAGATGTGCAAACCTTTTTCGGATATTTTAGGCAAGGGTAAGAAAAAGCAAGGAAGGCATTCAATGAGATGAAACAAAATGTGTAAGAACTGGTGGATATCAAACTGATGATCTGTTCTGTAATCTTTCACTCAATTCACAACACAAAGCAGAAAACAACAACAAAAAAAGGACAGTTTTCACAATGATTTAGCTTTATCTAGACAGTGAAGCCACAGTGTCATCATCCCACAATGCAAGAGTACGTCCAGAACAATCCTAACATCCTCCTGGTCACATAGCCCCACACACCCTCCGGAGCACCAACACTGCATTACGGAATGTGTAAACACACTGCGGATAGCTTAGGTGAGAGCTCTATGAGACATTCTGAAAAGTAAACTGACCTTTGAACACCATTAGTGAGGCCAAAATGTGATACAGACATGAATCCAGAGGTTGTGTCTGCACATGCAGACAGGATCTTGCCCTTACAAAGGAGCTGTAAAGCTTAGGAGTTGAAAAATACGCTTTTCGAATGACTTCACCATCATCGGTACAATGAGAAAATGTAACCATCCCACAGTTCTGTTGGAATTTATGTTCTTATGTAAATGCAGGAGAAAAAAAAAAAAAAAAAAAAAAGCCCAAATGTATATAGTGCAACTATATCTTGATCTCACTACATTGGATGTTACAAAAACACGAAATGGTTTTCACAGACAAGTTGTAACATACAGCTATAATCAGCTTTGAATCACTGATACTCACACAAAAGGGGGCTCGATCCTCAGCAGGTGCTGCAGAAAATCTAGAATGTAAAAGCATACACTGCGGCATCTTTTTACAATGGTGTTAACAAATGTCAATGTCTTGTGCTGAATGTGAGATGCATACATATGTAGTTAAAAGTGGGTGCTCCTGGTTGTTTTTTTTTTCTTTCTTTCTTTCCCCTTTCCACTTCCCTCCCAACTACACCTCCCCCAGAAAAGCATCTGCTCTTTACTGGTGTCTATGGCAGTGATTATTAACAAGAATGGAAAAATGTAACTGCAATCAATCTTTTATTCCTTGATCAGGAATTCATCCCACACTTTGGGTTAAGGCAGGTGAATTCTGATTCAGCTCGGTAATTATCTGGCAGATGTTAGAAGCAGCTGCTGTTAAGTGCAAATCCCTGGCTATTATTACAGAAATATAAGAGCTCCTGGCAAGGTGGAGTGAGAAGTAAAACAGAATGCATTCTGGTGAGGCTTCACATCTGGTTTTCCATAGGAAATAATGAAACCTGGAACTTAAACTGGCTGTTCTTGAACTCTTGGAACTCAAATTATCCACCCAGGCAAGCATAAAAGCACACACACAAAGTTGCTAGCAAGCGATTGTAAATGTCAAACAAAGAAATCCAGTGCATTGTCTCAACAAGCATTGCTTTTCCTAAAGCCAATCAGTTATACATCTGAGCCATTAAGTATCTTTTCTTTTACATGTCTACAATGTACTCCTCCACCCTTGCCTTGGATGAAGCTAGATTCATCACAAATAATAAAGAGAAAAGAGATGTGGAAGTAGCTGAGATCCAGGCAATGACTACAAAGCTCCACTGGCCAGAGGCAAGGCTAGGGATCCATTCAGAATAAGGAAAGGACTATCTTTTCCTTTAGGGGTAATAGCTTCCAATATAATCCTAAGCCTTTGGCTCATCAAAAGCAAGTAACAGAGAGGAGACAAGGTTAAAAACATTTCATGCTAATTTCAGGAAATATGCTTCACTGGTCAACCTAAATGCCAGACTATTTTTGTTTTGTCATTTAACACAATCTTCTTCAAAAAAGATTCTATAAAAAATGATGCGTGTTTCTTTCTACCACTTATCCAATGAGTCAAACTCTATAAACACACTGAATCAGAGCTGCAGTAAGACACTTGGGAAGAAATAAATGTGGTGTATGTGTGTGTGTGAGAGAGAGACAGAGAGAGACTGATGGGTTGACTGACTGGCTGAGTGATTTCCCAAAGAGGAAAGGTTGTAGATTTTCTTCTTTCTCACTTTTGTAAATATAAGATTCTACAATACAGCTATTTTGTCTCGTGAGATCCTGTATCAATTATTTCTCTACAGTAATCTAGAATACCTTGAGAGATCCTTTAATGTCATAATAAAGCCTCTGTCCACAGGAAATTGATAACTTCTGGTACTGAATCTGAGAGTAAAAGAAAATGAGAGAAGGGGGTGGGGGTGCTTTCTGGGCTTGATAGATGGAACATAGAGTACCTGAAGACTTCTTTTGAGTTGACTAGATGAACGACTTAATGCCATATGAATGACACAGTGGTCTGAGAGCTTGTCATTTTTTAATGTTCTGTAGTGCATTCAAAATAAGTTAACAATAAAGGCAATTAGAGTTCCAAAAAGTGGGTGAGACTACTATTGTAAAACAGACACTTGAGGGGGATAGAAAGGAATATGAGGAAACATGATTATAGAAAGCTTGTAAGCCCACCTTCAGCCTATACCTGATTGAAATACCTAAAATGGGTGCTAGAACTTGCCCAGTGAAAGAGGCGTCCTGCAGAGGCTTTGTAGGGTAAAAGACCTTAGATGGAATCCTGATCCCCATCCAGAACCTTCTGAGATGGGAAACTCCCACTTGAAAAGATAAGCAGACCATCTTGGAGCAGCTAGTGGAACAGAAGATACTTCTTCAAAGAAAGACCAGCAAGGACAAACAAAAACAAAAATGGCAGTCTGATTGTCTACTACAAGAACAACCAAGCTATTCGCTGGGGAGCCATCAAGGAAAGCAATCAAGTCCCTTCAGGACAAACCCTCTCTCAAGACTGAAACTCAAAGGGAATACACAAGCAAGCATGAAAGCTTGCTGGTGACCACGTTGGTCTACTGGTGAGAGGAAGTGGAGGAAAAGCAGCAATGAAGAGGTGGGCTGAGTCTGACCAAGTTACATAGACCCCCATCGACCTGGAGTATGGTGAGAGCTGGTAGGCCCAAAGTACAATGAGACTTGGGGACTCCTGAGCCCAGGGACAAGGACATAGCCACAGAGGGCTAGAGCTGAGAGTGAAGCATCCAGTTGATATGAAGTGAGGAGATATGCACAAGGGCACCCAAACTTACAGACAGTGCCCATTGGATCTAGTTTCAAAGGCTGGATGTTCAGAACCTGACTAGAGGAATGAAAAGAAGAAAAAAAAAAAATTTATTTTCTTCTTTAAAGAAAACAAGTGTAAATCGCTACAATCTGATGAACTTGACCTATGCTTATTGATGTAGTAGCTTAAAATAACAACCAAGAGGGAAAGAATTGTTACAGCAAGGATCATTCCCATCCCCTCTGTACACAGGGTTGATAGGGATAGCAGCTTAGACATTGGCTTCCTAAAATGGGGGTTGGGGTGTTTGTAAAGGCACGAAGTGACTGGCTTATAAATTTTCAAGAGGGAGTTTAGATTCAGAATGTGTGGGGTAAGGTAGAATCCCCACTGAGTGGTTTACATATTGTCTAGACAGGTCTGGTGAAAAGAGATGGGGACAAGACTCTCATGATTCAATAGTGAGTAATTGCTCTCATGACTAATTGTGATTGTCGCAACTGTAAAGGTAGAAGTTTTG